CAGTTAATAAAGTTACTATTTTACACTTTCAACCTTCTTCTTGTCTTCATCATAGGATTGATCATGATAACCTACTACATAAGTGAATCGTGATAATAAATTGTTTTGTTTGTTAATCATTAATTTCTCTTGGGAAAGACCTTTAAGATAATTGTGTCGTAAAGTTTATTAGTTTTGTTAGCTTGATTTGGGACGATTCCAGGTCTAACAGTTTGGTGATTCCTACTAGGAGAAAGACTTTTAAAAGTTAAGATTGTGAATAAATTTAGATTTATATTACCAACTCCAAGAAGCACATATTGAACAACATAACAAAGGACAAATGACCTTATCAACTGATTATACCTATCTAAGTTGCCATCTGATACCAGAAGATATCCCTAAGAATTTTAGAAATTTTTGGAATTGGATTAGCGCAAAATTTGGAGCTGTCATATTCACAGGAAAAACTTTGTCATTATTTGATCAACTATTAGATAAATTTGCCACTCTAATCTTTCTTGAGCAATTGCAAATTGATACAATTACAGTAGCTTATCGAAAACTATTACAAATTAGAGTCAAAAAATTATTATATAGTTTAACTTTTATCAATCCTAAAATACTTAGATCAGATTCAGAATTTGTTACTTTAAGCGTAATTAAAGCAGCAAAAGAATCAAGCTTCTTCAAAAAACCAGTTAAAACCCAATTTGACCTAATAGTACCCTTAAAAATAAGCCCCATTCTGAAACCAATCGATATCATGATAGGAGAAGATAAAAGTAACAATCAATAAAGTGGATCAAAACCACCTAAATAACCATCTAAATAACCACCTAAACCAACACTACATAGCGGCTCTCAAGATGGATGGAGAGGTGATGATGAAGAGTATAGAATTGGAAATAATAAAGCATTAGGTGATAATGGTATTGCAGTAATTATTAGGCAAATGAGTGATTCTTTTAAGGGTATTGCTAAAGAAATTAGAGATGCTCGACCACAGGCATACCCTAGAGAAACTAATACCATACAAATATAACCATTCTGGGGAAATGATAGCGAAGACCCAGAGGAATGGCTTAAACACTTTGAAACAGCTGCAACAGCAAATAATTGGACACCCGAAAGGAAACGTAGTATTGTTGCAGGATATTTAAGAGGACCAGCGGCATTATGGTATGATAATATAGTAAATATTATTCGTTATTTGAGTGTACAAAGGCAAGACAATATAAGTTTTGTCCCTATGTTTAGAGCTCATTTTACCACAGTTAGGCAAAAGAATAAATGGTATTATGAGTTATCCAATATCAAACAAATGACAAATGAAAGTGTAGATACTTACAGTGCTAGATTCAATAACCTTAAAAGATTAGTTGACCTAGGTGATAATTTACCAAATGATTACGAAATTAGGTTATTTTTAAATGGATTAAAACCTAACATTGCAGTAAGAGTTGCAATGGCAAATCCTGCTAATCTTAGAACAGCTGTGAATGAAGCCAGAACAACTGAAGCGGGAACATATTACATAAAAGAATCCCCATAAGTCACTAATAATGATGCAATTGAAGCCTTGACGAAGCAAATGGAACAACTCTCCCTTAATTATGTGAATATTATCAATGTATTAGCAGCATAAAATGGAACTTCAAGGACTACAAATATTCCACCTAAAAGCATGAATACTACAAGGAATAATAATGACAGAAAACCTTTTGACAAAAGCCAAATAGTCTACTAGTGATGTGAGGAGAAAGACCATTATTCGAGGGAATGCTTATCTGAAAGATCTTCTAAGACAAAGCCAAGAAATGTTAATTTAATTGAAGTTTTCACAGATGACGAAGAGGAAGAGGAAGAGGAAACATCTGAAGTTTATGTAAGAGAAAGATCCCGACCATATACTACTGACAGGAAGAATGCAAGATCACGATAAAGAGAAATGACTAGAACGTCTGAGTCAAATAAAGAGATGAATCTTAGGACTCGTATCATTAACTCAACTGAAATAGAAATAGAATTCACCCCTAAACAAAAATCAGTTAAAAGAGCACGAAATCCTTCCAGAATTGATAACTTTGCACCATATAATATAGCTGATGATATCCTATCAAAACAATCTTCTGCGACCCTAGGACAATGGTTACAAATACCAGCTCAAAGAAGGAATTTAGCAAATGCCTTAAGACGTCATCTTATATCAACACCTAGTGTTAATTCTTTAGAATTCATAGATGATGAACCAGGAAAGAAAACAACTTCCTGCAAAGCATATATTAGGATTAAGAAAAATCCTATCGAAGCTATAATTGATACAGGAGCAGCTGTCAGCATTATTATCAACAAATTAGCTAAAAAGTTGGGGCTTAATATTGATAAACCTTCTAAATTAATTGTGACCACAGCTAATGGAAGTCGTGTAAAAGCATTAGGACAAATTACTGAAACAAGAATAATTATACAATACGTATCAGTTCCAGTAGAGCTTCAAGTAATTGAATCACCACAGGATACATTGTTATTAGGAGTAGATTGGTGTAGAAAAACTATAATGAATCTTGACTTTAGTATGCAAACTGCTTCTATTTCATATGTTACTAAACAAGCTACTTTTAACATCCTGTTTGAAGAGGAAATAGTAGATGAAAGAGAAAACTTAGATCAAGTCTTAGATGAATATGAGGAAGAAGACTTGGATGAATATGACGTATTTCTAAGCGAAATTGAAAATAATTCTCAACCAAAGTATGTAATGAATATTATGTACGACTACCAGGGTATTATCATGTTACAAAGAATTAATTCACGAAAGGAAATGTATAAGATGTGGCAAGTGCCAAGTAGAAAAGTAGAATCTAATGAAACGTCACTTCAAGCAGTATTAAGAGAAACATATGAGGAAACAGGTATTCCAATTAAATCTGAAGATATAGAGTATCTTTTTAATGATGACTTCTATGATTGCGATGTGTATATATTACTAAAATCGCACCAAATTGGGCCTTTGAACAAACTGAACCAGAAAAACAAGAAAAATGGTGGCCATTTTGTTCTAAAGAATATGCAGATATGGCAGAACAAGGTGAAATAACTCCCACTCATACTAAATATGCAGACAGAATCTTAGAAGAAATTTGTATAAGGATATATAAAAATAAATACCCAAGTGTGTATCTAGCTGACTTGCCAAGGGAAGAACAAGAAAAACCTAAATTACAAGTTGGACCATTGAATGCCCATCAACAAAACACATTTCAACAAACCCTCAAAGAAAATAGTGATTTGTGTGCTAGAAGTCAAACAGATACAGGACGAACTGCTATTAT